GTGGCCAGACAAACCAGTGATAACATACCATTGGCATCATCATCATCATCATCATCAGCCTCATCAGCGGATTTATCGTCATGTTTCTCAGTGTTGATGAATGCTTGAAGGAAAAAAAATGCTGTACTTAAGTCATACACAGCACTATTTGATAGTATATCACTAGTATATGGCCTCTTTTTCATATGTTGCTAATATTATGATAGGCAACTAATATTGGACAGTATTTAACACTGATCATTAGGCGGACAGGTAAAAAATAAAATAAAAAGCAAAAATAGGAAGCCTACAGAGATTTTAAAAAAATTATTTTATGGAGTAAGAAATGAGATAAAGAAATTTTAAGTAAGTCTATAATTTACATTGTTTTTTTTTCATAGACTTTGGTTATGAGAATACATTAACTTATATTGATCATCTTAATACATCGCAAGAAAGAATTTCATCAAAAATGTTTTTTTTTTAAAACTCAAACCCAAGAAGAATGAGCAATATTATCGGTCCTGATCTGGTGGCTCGGCTTCAGTCACTTTCCAAAAGCCATCAGGTTGCCTCCCTGTTTTTTCTATACTTTCATGGTAATTGTTTGAATGAGTTCTTCGCTATGGAACCTAGACATGTTTTTTATTTTTAGGGCGTCAAGGTCTCATCAATTTACAGTTGAGCTGGTTAGATGTAACTAAATTCTATGCTAACAGATTTTTTTTTCTCTCGAACTTCTTGTTTGCGGATCTCTCTTCTAGCTTTCAAACCAATTTTTAATCTGTAGAAATTTAAATGCAATGTCAATCACTATCAGTTGTCCTCCTGATTAGTTTTTTCTCGTCCCATTCATTATTAATGTTTTTGTTCCTAATTTTCTCTCACTCTGTAACCCTTTGTTTCTTAGAAGCTTATCTGCTTCGGATGGGGAGAAACTGGTTTAAAAAAAAAATTTAAAAAATCAATTTTATTCCAAGCAAGGCAATAATATAATGCCACTAAGCTACTGGAAGTGAAATTGAATGAGAAAAGTCAATTTAGATCTATTCATTTCATTGATGTAATATTTGGCATACATTTTGCTTGAAGTGAATTTGAAAGCAATTAATTGTTTACTATTAGTGTATAATTCAATGCAAAAAAATGTTCTTGTAAGCATGACATTTCTTTCAAAGATGCCACAAAGACAAATTGCTAAACATGAAAGTTCAGAATTTTTCTTCTATTCTCTCCCACCCCCGACATTTCAAATAAATGAAGAGTAGAAGAGTTTACAGACATCATTCTGCTTTTTAAAAATGACATTCTTATCCAAAGTATTTGATGCTGTAGCTAATTTTGGACAAACGAATGTGTCTAAATACCAATTATAGACAGTACCACTGACTGTTCTTTCTGTATATATAACACTATACTCTGGTATTAGACATGGCATCATTACTTTATCTTGACCTACAGATTGAATAGGAGTTTTATATTCCATATCAGGATGATTTGATACTTTCAATATTTGTAGCATTTTCTGTGTGGAATTCCCTATGAAAATGCAACCAATTAAATATAGAGTCCTTAATTTTTAAGTGAAATTTAAAGAATTATCAATATTATTTTAACTCAAAATTAATTTCTCAAACTTTAGAAGTATTTTTTAACCACGTTACAATTTTGATTCATTGTATCAAAAGCATAAAGAATGACTAAGTTAAAATTCCTTAGTTTGCCAACTTTCATTTTTATTTTTTAAATAAAAAGATATACGAAATAAAGTTTTTCAAACTATCGTATACATATGCATTAATTGTAGAAACACGATCAATAGAAAGAAAGAGTCTAAAAATATAACTTAAGCAGAATATAAAAGTAATTATTTACATTATATAAAATAGCAGAGTAAAGAGCACCTTAACTTAAAATATCAATCAATAGCAGATGGAGCAAGGGCCATATAAAACAGAAACCTGTATAAAAAAAAAAATAAAAATAGAAAAAAAATAAAAAAAATAAAAAAAAAAGACGGAGGGGGGAAGCAAGAATGGAATAGGAGAAAATGAAAGTATTAATAAGACATGTTGATTGAATCAATTTTGTTCATTCTATTTCTTGTGTAAAAACAAAGAATAATGCCTTAGTAGAACTAATTAATTGAATGTAGAAAAAAAAAAAGGGAAGTTTCTGTTCATGCAGTTGAATCATGTTGAAAATTGCTATTCAATTATGTGCCATGTTGAAAGCAAGCCATGCACAGATCAACCAGTAAAAATGCTGGGGAGACATAAAACAAATTTTTTTTTCACATTTAAAAAAAAAAAAAAAAAAGAAAAGAGAGACATGCTTTAGAACATGCACCAATCAACAACAAAACACAGGCAACAAAAAAACAATACAAAAAAAAACCCTCTAATCTTTATTAATCGAAATTTAAAATTTAAACTTATTGAATTAAAAATAAGCATAATTTTTTCTAATTTGTTTCTTTTAAGATTCCATTTGTAAACATTTAAAAAATTCCATTATTTCTACAAGATCTGAAAACAAAAGAATCAATCAAAAAGTCATATGAACAAGAAACACTGAATAACCGCATTTTTTTTTTTTTTTAAATTCTCAAGTTACTGATAAATAACTTGAATGAAAATAGAAAAACAAATTTTGTGGGATTGAGGATTTATTTAAAACTGATCAACCAAACACATTGTCTGAAAGAGAGTTTTGAAATCTAAGGAAAAATTTCTAATTGCAATCTTTAGAATTTTATTAAATTGTTAAACACTATACATAAAAGAAGACTTTTAGCATTTCTGAAAAAAACTGGCTAGTTAGGAGAAAGACTTTTATTGAAATCGATCAGATTATTTAGTTGTAAGGTCAGAGTTAATTCTCATTTTTAAATTATGGTATTCAGTTTTATTATTTGGGATATATTTTAAAATAAATGAATTACTTATAAATCATTTGCAAAGAGAAATCTTAAATAAATTTACAAGTGAATAGATTTTAAAAGAACCAATAAATGACAATAACTATATTTTTTACTTTGAAATTTTTTAAGTTATATTATCATAGTTTGATTTTAATTCCTTACAAACCAAACACAGAATTTGTGTGCAGGTGTTCTGTCTGAATAATTAAAAAAAGAAAAAGTTGATGCCAAGTAAGAGGTATTTCTAAGAAATAAGCTATCTTAAAAGACAGCATCACTATTCTACTCCAAACAGATTTGCCCCAAAATGTAGACCCTATGGCTGGAATAGTGAATGTGTCTATATAAGTGGGTGCAAGGAAGTTCTTAGACCTACTTTCCCAAATTTAACCAAATATAAGAATTTTTGAAGGGCTTCTTGGTTAGCCAAGAACTTTTCATCACTCCCTTCTATAATGGAAAGAAACTGATTATAAGAAAAGTTAATTAGCCTTTATTTAATGTTATATTTTCTGACACATAATATTTGTCTGGGGATTGTATATTTTTAGTTGATGTGTACATTTTTTGTACTGGATTTTTACTCTGATGAAAGAGGACAGATAGACTGGTTTAGTAGTGTTTATTTTTTTTATTTGTTTGTTTTTAAAATTGTTATATTTCAGTATTACTATTTTACAGTAATATATATATTTTGTTATCCCTCATTTTTATTATAGATTACTTTTAATCTGTGTCTAATGTGTATGAGAAAGTTTGATAAACACTATTCCTTATATTAAAAAAAAAAAAAATAATGTATGGAGATTTAAGAGTCAAAAATGTTTTCCATGAGAATATATGATTATCAAATGAATATATTCTTTTGACTCTTAAGCAAACCAAGAAATTTATATTCTAAATTAGAAATCATAATTTTTTTAAAAAGATTTTATGACTTTAGACATTATTTAGGAATCTTTTTTCTTGAGCTTGCATCAAGTTCTATATGACATGAAAAACATTTTATGGAATTTTTTTTGAAAATTGGAATATTTTTTACCCTGTAAACAAAAAAACAAAAAACTTTTACTGGAGTTTTTGTAGATTTTCTTTTATAAAAAAAAAAAAAGAAGAAATTAAAAAGTGACTGTCTGCTTTATGTTCAATGTAAAATTTAAAAAAATAAACAAAATGTTATGAAATGAATGAGAAAGGACTTAAGAATCAACATATGTTGCCAAGATTAATGTAAGGTGAAAGGAGAGTTACTCCCCCTTGATGTCCGAAAGCTGGTCAGAGTTGTTTCAGCAACAACTTCTATTAATAATAATGAAAATGATAGTTATTAAAAATACAAACACAAGAATAAAAAAATGTTTGGAAAACAAAATATATAATAGGGCATTGAAAAAAAAATTTCAAAGGAAACTTTGTGAATAATGGTTGGAAGAAATCATTTTATGAATTGTTAGTTCTTAATTTTATAGAACTGAAGTAGTAATAACAGAGAGGTAGACAGATTCAAAACTAGAGTTGAAGCATTTTAAGGACAGGGATTCTCTCTTGAAATAAAGGCCAAAAATGGACAACCATTGGTTGTTAATAAGGATGTTTTAAAATGCAACACAAGAGGTGAAGCAGATCACAAGCACTCAAGAATTTCCAGAAGAGTTGGGATCATTGAAGGATACTATATGCAAAGCATTACATAAGTGCTTGATGTAAGGCATTACATAAAAATGAAAATACTTGTGATATCCCCAGCACCAGTAAATAAAGCAAATATTTACTGCCATTTTGATGTGACTATTAAGATTATTTGTAAATACTGAAAATAGTCTTCCCAGCCCAATCAGTAATGGTATGACATTAAAAAATAAATTAAGGGAAAAAATAAAAAAGTTCACATTATTGAGAAGGGGGTAGAGAGAGAGGAGAAAAATACTTTGAAGCAAGTTTAATACATTTAAACAATGAGGAGACATTTTCTGATTCTTGTTGATAAGCAAAGGAACTGCTTTAACAATTTCATCCAGTTGAATACATATCAATAAAATATATTATTTAATTTTTTTAATGGCAATGTCTTTGTTGAAAAATTACAAATAAACACATACAATAATAATTGTGTTTAATTTTTATTTCATTAGTGACGATCAGGTACAAAGACTTTACAGGTCTTCATCACCTGGACTTGGTTATCTCTCTTGCAGACATGTAAACTAGTAAAGGTTACGGAATGAGGAATAACCAAAGTGGAGGTTGGAAATGAAATCTTTAGAAAACCAACAAAATACAATACTTGCCAGCAGTGTGAAGTAGGTAAACCACTATTACTTAGAGAACATTTTGAACCCCCCCCACACACACACACACACTTACAATAGTGTCCAACGTATTTATGAGGATTGGGACATACCCATTAGTGTTCACAGGTACCATATATAACAAGACAGATGACTCAACACATGACATAATGTATCATCTATACCAGCTTTCATACATGTGACTAAAATATTTTGATTCAGAACAAAAAATACCAAGTCTGAAAAATACAACTTCTAAAGTTCCAGGTAAGCATTTACTTTTCTGAGGTTACTTTTATTTGTTTATTTTTTATTTTTTTTTGTTTAAAGTGGCTTGATTTTATATTTTAAACCATGTTGGTTTATTCAATGTCAATTTTTTTTTTTTTTTTTTGTATGGGGCACACTGTGATGATCGAACTCACTAATTAATAGTAATTGTCATCCCACATCAAGGCATTTTTTTTGTTTAGTAGATAACTTGTAAGTTTACATAACGGAGAACAGAAATGTTTTCTGTGCAGCTCAAAATTTTAATATCAGATATTGCCGACTTGTTGAATTATGACAAGACTTCAAGTTAAATTGAAAGTTGTTTATCAGAAACTGAGAAATTCCCTGAAGAATTCTTTGGAACAATCAAAACTTCAGTCTGGTATAAATTGAAGGTCAAAACAAAGCAAAATTGTATTTAGGAATAGAAAATCCAACCAATTCACATATACGACGTGAGAGAATGAGAAAAGTATTATACACTAAATAATTTTACAAGTCTTTCAAATCACATTAAAAAGAAAACTGAGAATGGAAAAAAAGATTAAACGTTATTAATTCAGATCAGTATGCAATATAATATTGATGTAATGACAAAAAGTAGCCTTAGAAAGGAAGAATATATATATATATATATATATATATATATATATAAAATTAAAAATAAATTGCTAAAATGTTGCACCTATATATGGCTCCAAACACTAACAAAAACACTTGCTCTTTGCTAAAAAGAGATTACATAATATTGATTTCAACAGTATTTCAATTAGATAAAATGTTAAAATTGACAGATAATTATTGGTTTTGATTCAATGATTTGTTTACAATAACTTAAAAAATCTTGAATAATATTTGAATTTTTAGAAAAAAGTAACAAGCAAGGGCAAATATATTTTGAGAAGCAGGTCTTTTGTAAAAGAAAAAATATCTTTTTAAAATATTTACGAAATGAGAGGGAAATTCTAATGAATTAGATCTTGATTATGAAAAATTAGATTAATTTTGTCAGAATGATTTCCATTCTCGGAAAATATTAAAGCTACCAAAAAGGCCATAGATGATGTTAGACACAAAAAAATACCCTGCATATTTCAAATTGCATTTAACACTGGAGAAGAATTTTTCAAGGTTTTCTTTTAAATGAATAAAAAGTGAATAAAATCTATATTTCAAGGCATAGTCAGTTTGTGTTTTAAGACATGTAGAATATACGATTTTTTTTCCACTGAATCTGTACTACCCAGCCAGGGATTGAACTCAGTTACTATTATACCAAATTCACAAAAAGAATACTTTAATCCACTAAACTATTGTACCATGGAACAATCTTTGGTTTAGAACTTGGAGCCTTAAACATACTCTGCCTAAATAAGAACAAGACAATATATCCCATAGAAAGCATAACGCGAACAATCTACCCCATAAATTAAATAAAGGGTTCAGTTCAAAATTCCCTCAAGGTTACTAGGAGTGAAAGCAGGAGGGCACAATGGCTGAAATAATTTGATAACAACAATAAGGATGGGAACAATAGTTCAAGTGTAAATAGCCATTTTCAGCCGGTTAAATATCTTTTGAATAAAAAGACCTGCCTTAGTGATTTCAGCCTGTTAAATATCTTTTGATGAAACTGTTTTCATTTTATTCAGATCAGTATATTTTTATTTCTGCCTTTATCACATTTCATCTAAAGCATTGTTTGGTTTCTCTCGGATGTAAAGTTTATCTGGTCAAATCTCCACATGAGTAAAACGTAACCAAAAACTGTGTATATAACACACTATGCATTGTAGCAAGGAATGTAAAGAAAAACAACAAAAACCAGCTAGCCCTAGAAACATCATAATGTGAAGCAAAACAATCAAGTTAGACATGAAGGAATAAATATGAACAAAGACCTTTGAAATGAGGTTAAAAAAATAGTGAATTTGAAGGTAAAGTAAAACTTTGAGAATAAAGAAAGCTGCATATATATGCCCAACAAAATATAAAATTCAATAACATGTGGGTATCTTGTGTTCAGTATAGAGAGAGAGAGAGAGAAATGGCAAGGTCTTCAATAGGAAAAAATAAAAGTAGAAAAGGATATAGACTGTTTTTCAATGTGTTGGGAAAAATTAGCACTGCTGAGATCTGGATTCTTTTCAGGTTGATTACTAAATTGCTTATGTCTGGAAAAATAGATTAACAACTATTTATAAAGGGGTGGGTGGGATGTAGACAAGAGAATGAACTATTGACCTGACGGAGACTGAATTGTAAGGATGAGAATACTAGTCAGAACATCTCATAGAATAACAACAATGAATCATGTTAGACTTTCAAAGACTTTGCTTCTTAAATTATGGATCTGTAGTTGGATAGGTGGAAGTTGCTACATACAATGATATTACACTGCATCTCAACTGAGTATCCAATCTAGTAGTAGTACACTTAAATTAATGAGGTTGAGGTAGCAAGGATGAGAGCTCATTAGAACAACTGCCATGAAACCTATTCATAGAAAAGACAGAGGGAAGCCATGTCACAGTGGTTGGAAAGTGACTGAAGTTGAGATGCAAGGTCAGGGCCAATAGCATTACAAACTCTTTGGATTTTGTTGGCATCCTGAAAATTTCAACTTAATAGCCACAATGCAAGTTTACAGTTATAAAATGGGTCATAAGACACAGTTAAGTAATAAATTTAATTAATAAAGAGAGATGTTTAATAATCCTGGAGTTTTTAAAAGTTAAAACAGCACTGGCAATTGCAAAATTGATTGGCAGGTGTCAGTGAACTGCAAAGATGTTATACTGAAGATCCTGGAATACTCTGATGCAGGTCTGGTAAGGGAAAAATAAAGAACTTTATCTTGACAATATGTGGAAGTTATGAAAAGGATTCCATCTTTGTCAAGATATGAAACGTTTTACGTATTATGGCATCAAGGAAGTGTTGAAAAGGTACAACATGTTGGATTCAAAATTCAAGTGACAAAACATGCGAGACTAACCATTAAAAGACATCCATAAGGAAAAAAAATCAAATGAAAGACAACAGAATACATGAAGAGTTTTTACTTGAAGAGATTTTATTTTGAACCATTCTTTTTACCAATGAATGTTGCACTACTATACTAGATGAGCCTTAGAGATGTAACAAAGGATGGACTGCCATTGGTGGTGATGTCTGTGGTAGGATTATAGATGGTGAAGTTGTGGACACAGTAAATTCATGTGTTAAGATGATAGCTCAAGCATAGATCTTTTGAAGGCACATGTGGAACTATAATTCAAGAAGCTGCCAAAGATTTTCAGAAAGATATTTTTATGTATGACAATGTTGCTTCATATTCACCGACAAAAACTAATGAATACTTGAAATTCAAAGACACTCATTTGATGAAGTGGCCAACTTTCACCACCTGACTCCCACCCAAATAAAAACTCGTCAAGAATTCTGATGAGGAATGTCTACATTGGCAGACACCAATTTACCAGCAAAAATAAATTTTGGAATGTTATTCTCTATGCTGTGAAATCTGTTTTATATGAAGAAATACAACAGTTCAACAAAATCAAATAAATTAACAAATTCTGAAACTAGTTTCAGAACAAGAATATTTTTCACATTAATGTTTAGTTTATAACTTTGTAATCATTATAAATTATATTAATTTCAAATTTTTGTCCAAAATATTTGTCTTTGTAAACATCCTGTAATTATGATTTTTAATAGCAATGTTTCTTGAAGTTTCACTAATGCGAAATTTGGAAAATCCCAAATTCCTCCAACTGCTGTCACATAAAATTAATGCAATCTATTATAATTTATACATATGTGAAGTATTCTGTATTTTAAATATTCAAAAATTTCTGTTTCTTTTCATTTTTTCCTAATTAGAAAATATTTAAATTGGCTAATGAGATGCAGTCAATATTTTTGCTATTGATTGAGAAAAAAAGTTTTTTCATATGCCCCAATAAATTATGATGCATTATATTGATTAAATATACAAGGCATGTCAATGTGGGTGCAATGGTCATCAAAGTGGACTTATAGATTTTTAGTTTGATTTAGACTGGGTGCCTCATACTTGTGGTACTTTGCCAATACTAAGCTTAGTAAATAAGTTGCCAGATATGTAGTGATTTACCAAAAATGCCTATGGGGGTGGGGGGAGGAAATTGGTAATGAAAGGATTGTCTGATGCATGAGTGAAAGTTCATGGAAAGCTATGAATCATGTCTTACCTTCTGGTTTATATTGAGCAACAATTTCCACTGTATCTCCAGCTCCTTTAAGAGCTGCAGCTGCCTCCTCATGGCTGGCCCACCGGAGGTCAAGGCCATTGACCTTAAGAACAAAAAGAGAAACTACATGAAAAAAAAAAACAAAAAAACAAAACATTTTTTAAAATTTTATGTTTTAATCAATTCACCTTAAGCAAGGTAATATTGCAAGGGGCTATTAGGAATGAAAGAGTAGAAAAGACTTTAGAAGGATCCAGAAACCCAATCCTAAACAGGAAGCAAAGGTTAAATCTCTACTTCTGTCAAAAAGACTAAGGAGGAGTGTGAACCGGACGATAGGTGAATCTATCTACTTTTAGGAAGTAGGCCAGATTGTAAACTTTTCTAGCACCTATTTCATGCATGAGCATATAAGAACACACAAATTCAAGTACATATTTTGAGATGGAATTTATAGAACATTAGGTCTTAATTTTTTTTTTTTAAATTAATTTCTTTAAATTCATACATGAACATCTTTAAATTAACACTTAAAATTATTTACAAAATTATTTTTCATTAATATAACACTTTTTCTTGCAATACATCAAAAGAATTAAAGCAAACAAATTTGATTAATGCAACATTCAAAGTTCTGAAAATATGTAAAACATTGTAACATTTAAATGAAATGCATGAGACAAAAACCCAAAACAAAACTGGACAATCAAAATGATAAATTTGCTACTTGTCATTCACCACATCACAATTTGTTTTGGATTTCATTTCAAGAATTAAACAAATTCATTTTTAATATCATCAACAATACAAAGTCGAGGATGTGAGCCAATTTCACTTTCACATTAAGATTTCACATCCTTATCATAGTTTTGAAATAAAACCAAATTATTTTACATCTTGGCTATAGTTTCAATCATTCACATAATAAAGAATATCTTGCTTAATTTTTTCCGAATATGAAGTAAATCATTGACAGAAAGCACTGAACATAAATGATAAGCTTATGACTAATTAGGTCAGCATCCTCATCTTTGCTCTGGCTCTTCATCAGTTGTTGTCAGTCAAAGATAAACAAAATGTTCAAGCTCTGTGTAGTTAATTATACATTGCATGAATTAAACTATTCTGGAATTATAGAAATTTTTGCCCAAGAATGAATATTTATTAAGCATAGCTTAATCTGGCAGAAGGCTGCATGTGTGGACAATTATTGAACATCATACTCACTACAGAAGTATAGGGCTGAAAAATTAGCTTGCTAACCATCACACACAAAAACTTTTTTGCTATTGCTAAAATTCTTATGAAGACCTCTGAATTCTAAGCTTTAAAACTTTTCTTACACATAAAACCAACTAGTTCACCATTTTCCTATTTGAAATTTCTGATCAATAATGACTGAATAAGCTGATGGCGAGTTCTATGAAAATAAAATATCCATAGAAATTCCCCTATTGCACTGTTAAATATTTGAACTCACAACTTTAACAAAATATTGCAAAAACAATTATAAATATGAATGCTGGTATTTTAAGAAGTGGGTACAAATGAAAAGATTTGAAACAGACAATTTTTTCCATTTCATTGAAACAGCCATTAGACACTTCTATCTTCTCTTATTTTCTTACTGAAACCAAGTAGTGCACTTTTTTTTCCTGCCCTACTCAATCAAAATGGACTAGTCCATTATTTATGAGCTACTGTTAGGTGATACTAAACACTTCTAGCTTCCATTCTTTCTTTCTTTCATTTTATCACTGAAACCCAAGTAATATTTTTTTAGCCTTGTTCAATGCGATCAAAATGAACAGTCCATTATTTATGAGGTATTGGCAGGACATAACAGTTGGGCAAATTATCGAAGGAAGGAACAAGCCCAGTTATAATAGAAAGTTGTTTATTTTTCTCTACCAACAGAAAGAAATTGTTAAAGAAATATTTTTTACTATAAAAAGTGCCATATCACTGAGTAACATTACTCAATATTGCTTTTCAAAAATTTAAATGCAATGTCAAATGTTATCTTATGCCTTAATTCCTTTTATTTTATTGTTCTCTCTCCTTAATGTTTTTTTTTCTTCCTCATTCTTTCACACTCAGTAACCCCTTGTGACTTTATTGCCTTGCTTGGGATGAAATGATAAAAAAGCAATTTGTATATCAAGGAAACCAAATGGTATAATTTTAAAATAGGTAACAAGAAATTAGTGCACAGAACATAAAAGGCTTTAAATATTTCAAAAACAATATATATATTAGAATAACTAATCCTGATTAGATAATATTTTGATTTTAATTATCTATTGAGATTACTACCAAGAGAGCTATTTATTTTTAATTAAATAGGAGACAATTTAAATAGGGTTGCGATTTATACAGGATAAAATAAATCAAACAATACAAAGTGAGAGAATTCAATCAAACCATGTTTAAAAAAAGAAACAAAGAGTATTTTGTGCATGAAGCTAAAAACAGGAAGAATATTATGCAAATTGAAGAATGACCATTAATTATTACTATACAGTCAAACTATGGCCTGTGAGTGGAGGCAAAGCAGCAGCATGAGCTGTTGCTATAGAAGCAGGCTAAGTTGATATATGCGCATTGTTAAGATGACAAAAGATGGCAGAAAAAAAAAAGCACCATCTTTGAATGAGATTAGATTTAATTTAGAACTTTTCAGCTTTAACAAGAACACCAAAATAGCCAACAGCAGCATGAAAAGGCAAGGGTTGCAATTACAATAGGAGAAATGAACCTAGAAATCATTTGTCTTTTTTCTTTTAAATTCATCATGCATCAACCTTTTTCTGAGTCTTACACCAAGGAAATGGTACTGAAGTAGACTTTATTGAGTGATAATAGTTAGCAATTTTGGATGACTGAAAGAACATCATTGATTGGCATGCTTCCTCACACACACAGACATAAGGTAAAAAATGCATTGGTATATAATCCAAGTGCATCCTAGAAATATAAAATATTAAAACTGACCCACAAAAAGAGCTCAATATATTTATTATTACAGAGTAATATAATAAACAAAATCCCAAATCACCTCATATCCAGAGTGAGTGATGTCCTTGAAATTTAAAAAAATTTTTTTTATGCAAATTAGTATTTAAGTGGCACTCTCAAGTAACTTACTTAGAAGGTAAATTCTTGAGTACCGCTATCGAATCTTATCAAAATATAAATCTGTGCCCAGAATTTTTTTCCAGTATCTACATTCCTGAAAGAATTACTACTTTCCCAAGCCAACATAGGCTATCCTTGTATTTGCTTTCATAAAGTCCCTCAGAAGACAAAACGTGTTAGCTAAAATAAGTCTCCCTTTTGTCTTTATTCATATTGTCCTTTTACAGATATACTCACTCTGAAATAAATAAATATATATATATATATATATATATATATATTACACACACACACACAGAATCCAAAGCAAAAGGAATTAACAGATTGTCACATGTAAAAGCAATAAATATATTTAAATCTGAACATCAACAAAGAATATAAGAGAAGCAGTCAGCTGTGATATCTACTTGACAACAGACAGCTTGATAACATCCCCCACCCTTCTACCATATATAATTATCTCTCTCACTCTCTATGCAAAACTATTTTTCTTGTTGCATTGACAGATGCAAGAGAATCTGATAAAAATAGATAGTTAAATATCAACTAAAACTGTAAGGTTTAGTATGATTTAGCAATTGTAACTTTAGTATGATTTAGTTTTCTAGATACAAAAATTGATTTTTATAACCAAATATCATAATTTGAATTGAGTAGCATCATTAATGTAGAAAATTGTGACTATGCTTATATTAGGAGATGTAAAATTAAAATAAAAAGTAGAAAATGTGTCTCTCACACACATACACACAAAAGTGTATAATGATTATTGATGAAAAGAAAGCAAGTAAATTTTATGACTAGGATAAAGGCAAAGTATTTTTTCAGTTTTATATTCTCATCAGTAATTTTAAAATAAAATATCTGAAAACTCTTCAAAACTTCAGATAGACTTACCAGATTTCTAAAATATGTCACATAAATGAAAGCCTTAGTTCCACTCAAATGGCAAAGTAACCTGAAACCACTCATATACTGGCTTTAATAGATGCACAGAAAGTATTAAATTGACCAACTATTGGCTTGGCTAAATAGTTACAAAATGCAGGAAATAGCCAACATACTTGAAATATCCAAATCAAGCATTGAAAATCATTTGTAGCAACTTGGCAATGTTAGTTGCCACCATCTCAGTGAAAATAACTAACTGGACTATTTCCTTGCATAATTACCAATGTGAATCTTTTTGTTTCTAAGTTGTTGTAGGCAATACAATTTAGAGACTTTACAATGTGGAATGCAAGAGACTGTGAAATTAAGCATCATTAAATGTTCCAAGGGCTGGTTTTAATTCAGAGAAACTAATGTTGTATACATGGTGGGATAAGAATGTAATATGCAACTATACGTTCTTTCCAGAAAAAAACAATTAAGCTGAACAAGTACTCCTACCAATTAAATTAACTGACGGCAACAATCTACAGAAAGTATTTGCTTGACATTTGTCAATAGAAAGAGCATAAAAATCTGTCAGGAGAAAATATCAGATTGTATTTTTCCTTTAATGGCAAAGCATAAATTGTTATAGTTTGGCTCAAAAATTCTTATTCATTCAACAAATATTGCACCTTTGGATTACCATTCAGTCCTGTTATTTCATTCATTTTACTTCTCTCGGAAAAAAATGATGAAATACAAAATAATTGAAAAGCAATATGGACCTGACATGATAACCAAATATTGAAATTGTCTGACATTGAATATAAGACTCCAAAAATAAATCACTGATGTCCTTCAATATGGTCGCATAGTGATTATAGGTGTTGGTCAATCATGTTATTGTCACCTAGTGGTCAGGAGTTCAATCTTTGATCAGGTAGTGAAACAGTAGTTCAGCAAGAACAAACAATGACTGACATCACAGAGACAAAATAATCCAACAATGCTTTGAAATTTCCTCACAGAAAAAGACAATAGAAATATGCTTTTACAGAAGGATGCTGAGAATACCATTGACATACTATG